AAACGTCCGCCCACAGTCCCTTAACTTGACAGTAAGTAGTCAGACCTGGCAGTTCCTGCTCTAGTACAGAATTTGCTTTATCAGTGAGATAATAAACTAATAAGCTAATAGGAAAACACACACAGTCTCCCATGCACAACCACAAACACATATGTACATTAATAAACATACAAAAACATGAGCTACCTTTCTTTTAGGAGTTTTGCAAGATTCATTTTTAGTTGTTCCCATTTTTTAATACACATTTATACTCTTATTGATGAGCAGAATATATATTAGAAGATGGACCACAGGAAAAGTGAGAGAATGTATGAAATCCTAGAATTCCATCTAAGAAATATTTTATATTGGATGCTATTTTCCTCAGGAATTTGTATTAATATATTTCCCCAGGGCTAGAATATGCTAGGAGAATCTTGGAGGAAACCAAATGTTATCAATGTTATTACTACTACTATAAAGTATATATTTATATCTAGCTTTAAACAAGCTATTGTTTAAAATATGTGGTTTCATCCAGTTCAAAAGGCCTTTTTTTATAACTAGGATATTTTATTTCTGGATAAAAATAATTTGAAACATTTAATGTATTTTTCTAAGCATCAAAACATTACTTGATATGTAATTAACAGTCTCCTAAATAATCACTAGACAATTTAGCCACCCACATATTTCCTTCTTTTGCCTTTAAGAAACCATCCTTAACACGACCCATAAAAACCAGCTATCTCTTACCCAAACCTTATGCCATTTGAGCGATAGTGAAATTAGCATTTTTTTTTAGTTTCTGTCTAAAGCAACGCAAGGAATTACAAGCTGAAACAGATAAAAACATGTGATAAGAGAAAAAAAGTATTTTTTAGTGGATAACTTGGCAAGATATTGACATTGACAGTGTCCTTTTTTTTACTTTATCTATCTTTTATAATACTTTTGCTTTTGCATTTCCTTTTTCATGTATATCTTTTGTCTTCTTTGTTAATGTATGAGGTAATATTTGATGCACAGGAAAAAATAATTTTAGAGTAAGGAAAAGCCATGTTTTCTTTGGGCTTAAAGATACAGACACCTAGGGAAATCAATGGAGGCTGAGAACCTCCTTGTAAATGGACTAGCTCTCTGCCAAAGTATAGTAAGATACTCTTGTGAATATTATTCTGGTCTGATATAGAATGCATGTTTTTGGAACAATCACTTCTGTGTTTAATTATTCTTCATAAGACATTTTTTCCATAAAAAAACTTTAAGTCACTTGTTGTGAAGATACCACATTTGTGCTTGGGACAAAGTACTATGTGGGATGGGTTTATCACACAAAAGGTGTCAGGAAAACATTTCACACTAGGCAGTGTCCTCATGTAAATTTCGTCCTTTGTAATGATTCATTATGATGGAATTCTAAATCAGCACTGTCTGATCTGAGCTTGTGAGCATAAAAAGGAGAACCCTGTGCTTCAAAGACATGTGTTCAAGCAGAAAACAGCCTATTAGATTTTTGTTTTCTGTAGCAGTTATATCTGCTACAGATAAACAATTTTTTTCCCAGCAAAGGTTACCATCATAACCAGAGATTATAATATTGAAATGCATTAAGCATAAAACCTGGTTTGGTTTCTCTTCCTTCAGGCCAAGGTTGCAAAGAACTGCAAGGACAATTTTGTATTTGAAATTGCTTACAACTAAAATTGCTATTGCTTGATTAATGGTGGATAGGTTTTATGTATCGTGGTCAAGTGTTTTGATATCTAAATGTTGTTAGCTCTAATATTTACTATCTAGGAACACTGAAAAACCTGACTTGGCCTTTGTGTGGTCCACTAACTGTATCAAAGTCTGAAGACCCTAATTCCCACTTACCTGAGTTGGTGCCTAAATGTCAACTGCACACATCCAAAAACAAAATTTAAGTAGATGCATCTGAGGTGAAAAATTGATCATAAAATGATGATGCAAGTTTTAATATGCAGAACAATTTACACAATCTTCTGGGTATGCTTGCCCATCAAAACCCAGTGATATACAATTGTCCTGGTTTCAGCTGGGATAGTTAATTTTCTTCCCAGTAGCTGGTATAGTGCTGTGTTTTGGATTTAGTACGAGAATAATGTTGATAACACACTGATGGTTTAGTTGCTGCTGAGCAGTGCTTACACTAAGTCAAGGACTTTTCAGCTTCTCATACTGCCCTGCCAGAGAGGAGGCTGGAGGTGCACAAGCAGCTGGGAGGGGGCACAGCCAGGACAGCTGACCCCAACTGGCCAAAGGGCTATTCCATACCATATGATGTCATGCTGAAAAAAAAATGGGGAGGTTGGCTGGGGAGCACGGCCACTGCTCAGGAACTGGCTGGGCATTGGTCAGCAGGTGGTGAGAAATTGCATTATGCATCACTTGTTTTGTATATTCTTTTATCATTATTATTACTTTCCCTTCTTTTTCTGTCCTATTAAACTGTCTTTATCTCAACCCACGAGTTTTACCTTTTTTCCGATTCTCTCCCCCATCCCACTGAGGGGGAGGGAGTGAGCGAACAGCTGTGTGGTGTTTAGCTGCCTGCCAAGTTAAACCACAACGCCAATTAACAATGTGAATAGAAGGTACAGCTAAAAAAATACCTACAGGAATAATATTATCAATGGGCTATATCTCTGTACGTCTTAATGAACTCTAAGCAATCAAGGATTAGTATTACAGTAGCTAACTCCTTTTGACATACCCTCTATGTGATGGGAAGCCTGGAAAAAAACTCTTAAGATTTGACACCAGCAGGTTTTTCTTCTGTTGCAGAACCCTTGCCTGTCTCAACAAGAATAATGAGCTGAACCTCTGGAGTGAAACTGCATAACAATTTTGTAGGAAGTCCAGGAACTATTTTCAGACAAGAAGGATGTGAAACACTTTGCTATGGGAAAAATTTCAGTAGATAAAATGCAGTGTAAAGGCTGATATTCCCTATATTACAGCAGACGTAGTTGTTGTAGCTAAGACAATAACTATTTGCACAGTTCAAATTCTTAGCTATCAACAATTTTGATTCCCTCATCAAAATATACACAGCATTGTTAACCTTCAAAGGAATGTTTTGATAACTGATGAGAGATTACAGCAATAAAATCACAAAAGTGTCATGTTCGCAGGTAATGAAATGAACCATGAACAAATGTTGATATTTGAATACGCATACATACATATATATACACACTGAGAGAGAGAGAGAGATACAGGGAGAGCATTTGGAATATTTTATAGCTTTTTATCTCTGAAGTGGCTGTATTTCACAAGTTGGTGAAGTGACTTAATTAAGAATATGACCATTGACTGGAAATATTAAGAACCAGGTTCATAACTTCTTTCTTTGGTTTTTGCTGGGACAGAGTTAATTTTCTTCACAGCAGCTAGTGTGGGGCTATGGTTTGGATTTCTGCTGAAAACAGTGTTGACAACACAGGGATGTTTTCATTACTGCTGAGCAGTGCTGACACAGAGTCAAGGCCTTTTCTGCCTCTCACCCCACCCCACCAGCGAGCAGGCTGGGGGTGCACAAGAAGCTGGGAGGGGGCACAGCCGGGACAGCTGACCCCAACTGACCAAAGGGATATCCCACACCATAAGGCGTCATGCTCAGCATATAAAGCTGAAGAAGGAAGTGGGGGGACATTCAGAGTGATGACGTTTGTCTTCCCAAGTCACCGTTATGCGTGATGGAGCCCTGCTTCCCTGGAGATGGCTGAACACCTGCCTGCCGATGGGAAGGAGTGAATGAATTCCTTGTTTTGCTTTGCTTATGTGCACGGCTTTTGCTTTACCTGTTAAATTGCCTTTATCTCAACCCACGAGTTTTCTCATTTTTGCCCTTCCAATTCTCTCCCCCACCCCACCAGGGGGAGTGAGCAAGCGGCTGTGTGGGGCTTAGTTGCCAGCTGGGGTTAAACCACAACAGTCACACTGATAAAAATACAGTGACAGTGTTAGATATAGGCTCAAATTATCACAGAACTATCCAGAGGCCAAGATGTATTTCATTCAACTAATAACATTGATCTATCACTTATTGTTGTAGTTAAATATATCGTGTTTGGAAATGAAAAAAATTAGCTTGATGGCTGGATCTATGTTTTTGGGGAATCTGGGACAGCAGCTATGGTAACTATCTATTTTTGATGGATAATTTTCGTTCTGCATTCGGACAATGGGAATTACCAGATTGGCCTGGGTATTGGCAGGTTTGAGCAGGATCCAAGTGTCAAATTTGGTTCAGACTAGACTCAGTCCAGAGGGAAATTTTGATGTTTTTATTCTATTAGGAGCATTTAATTTTCTCTCCATTTAAGTGTTCTTTAGAAGAATTATTTCTTTATTTCTCCCTTGAGTTTTAGAAAGATGGGCTTTGAACTGAAACAGTGTCAGGCCACATCTCCCAGTTCCTGATGATTATGTTTGCACATCAGTCTCCCAATTTATAAACAGCACTGGGGAGGCTTGATGCTGCCTATATTTGCTTTGGTTGTAGGCAGAAAAAATTGGGGAGATAAAAACATTTGTTATCGTAGGTCATGGTCCAAGTACCTATTTTAGACTGAGGTGCTCTTACTTTGGGAAATCATGAGATTCCCTGATTTTTTTACTTCACTAGTAGCTGCTAAATTGCATTTTTGGCAATGGAACTTGAGATTCTGGTTCCAAAATTTGGCAAGGTCCAGCCTTTATAGCCGTCTAGTGTTTCCCCTCTGGCCAGGAAGCATTTCCTGTCTCTGTGTAGCCTGGTTTTATTAGGGGGAGGGGAGATAAAAAGCTTGCATATTCCCCCTAATCCTATCACATACTAAATCACCTCATTCATACTGACTCCACCAATGCTGCTTTCCCCATTTCCTGAGTTACCTAGCAACAACCATCCCTCCCTTTTCCACTCCCCCATCCATCCTTTCATTTTTTTTTTCCCTTTGCAATCACGATTTCCAGGCTGTTTAGAAAAATGAGGATGCTCAACAGCATAGGGCAAGGTTTTCCTTCCAATCTCCCTTTTTATGCCTGCCAAATCCTTCTCGCCTCCAAAATGAAAATCCAGGCTGCCTGCATATGTGTAATCAAAGGTTAAAAAGCACCCCGGCTGACACCACGCATGTGTTAATCTGTGCTGCAGCAGAGTGCATCATTTCCACTTTGACCTCAGAGTTAATCTGCATTCAAGCAGAAGCTGCATTGCTTTATTCTTTCTTTTCTTTTTTTTCTCTCATTTACTCTTTCTATTGCTTTATCAGATTTTGTTGCATGTGTGTGAGTGGTTTTGTAAATATGTGCATGTGTATGTGTTTCTTCTTTCCTTGACTGTTTTTATTCTGTGAGTGTCTGTGGTTTTTTTTTTTTTTTCTTTTCTCCCAATTATATTATTCCCCTAGATTTGGAAGCTGCTGCCTGCTGCCTGAGCTGACGTTTTCTGATTATATCTGCAAAGGGCTTGTGCAGATCTAATTTCTGTCCCCCTGCATATTAATTCCCGCAGCTGGGCGCAATGTATCATCCCACTGACAGGACCTGGTAGGGAGGGGGGGAGAACCACTACCAAAAAAAAATTAAAGAAGGGGACGGATCCATCTGCAACCAAGACGAAAGGGGAAAAAAACTGGGGGGGGGGGAGAAAAAGAGATGATTCCTCCAAATCCAACAAGGCTGGAGAGCACTGCATTCTTGATTCCTGCATTTTCTCTCAAAATGATGGTGTGGGCACTTCTGTTCCTCTCTCTCATCCAGTGGTAAGATGTGCTTTCTGATTCTGTTGGGGGGGGGGGAGAGGGAGGGCTGGGGGTTGAGGAATCTGTTTGCAAATTTGCAGAGCTGTGGCGAGAATGCCGGAGGTTTGCATAGTGGCATTACATTCATCTATCTCCTAGCAGCTGAGATATTACAATGTTTTATTTCTCTTACAATTGTCGCTCAGAAATGGACAGGGAGGGTGAGCAGCGGGTGTGTATGATGGTAGTACATGCTGGGTGTTCCATAGAATTTGATGCCATATCAGTGAAGCCTTTTATCTCTGAATTATTGTTTGCTACAGTGCATGGAGTTATAATACAGCTGTTTTGTGGGCAGAATGTCAGTGCATTCATGCTTGTTTTCACCTAAGCAGCCACATCATGGCTGTGCCTGGGCTATGGGCTCCGAAGCGCCGTACGTTTGTTCCATCTGTAAGGAGCCGGTGCAAGGATTTAGGACCAAGGACAGAGATGCAGATCTCTGCACAGCCCTCCCAAGGCAGCCAGCAAGGTGCTGCCTGCATTTCCCGGTTACTGAAATGCTTTTAATGCTGATGGAACAAGCAATGGGATGTAATAGTGTTCACTATACCATACGAGATGAATGTTTACAATAGCATTTATCCCCCCACACTGACACATGTACTGTTTGAAGACAACCTGTGCATGCTGCGTATGTGTATTGTACACATAATTGTAAAGAGGTAAAAACCTTAACAGCAGAGGAAGAAGGAGTTTTTATGTGGATGAGTAGAAAGTGGAGGGGGGGAGTGAGTATTGCTGCAGTGCCAAGCATTACGCTGAACCAGACATTCTTGCAAAAATTTGTGGACTGTGCATTTAACAGGTTAGATGAGAAAGTAGCACTGCATTGCAAAGTACCCGGCCTTTCAAGTGGTAATAGACTTTTCCTCACAGCTGCATAAGCCATGTTGTCATTGATACATTAGAGAAGTTAGTGCCCACTCTCTTTGCTACTATTAATGCTGTATTCATACAGGCTCCTCATTCAAATTTACCTTCTTTCTTCTCCGCTCCTTTTACCTGGACACTACCATACTAAAAAGTGGGTTCTTTCTGTTTCCTTGTTTGTTTTTTTGTTTAAGAAAAATCAGACTTTGTAGCAGCAGTGGTAGGATTTCAGTTCTAAGCAAAATAAAAGGCCAAAATTATTGGCCAGGGAAATTAAGTTGCTGGGTTTTAGAGTGACTTTCTTCACACCAAAAGGACTTTGTGAAGAATTCCTGTGAAAAGAAACTTAAAATGGTTGAAAATGGAGTAGAAAGTGAAATAAAACTTGGTGAGCCTACCATGAGGGATACTTTGTTATTGGGAGTAAGACAGGTATAAGGTAACTCTGATTCTTACAGAATCATTTATGATTACTATGTGAATACAGCAGTGGAAAATGAGCTTTTATGAGATTTCATGAACACAGGGTCTCAGATTATTTTGACATAAAACTTCCACTAAAATAGTCTCAGATATTTATTTTAACACACTTCCTTCTTTTCATTTATCTTTCAGAATAACATAGCCTGAGAGGAATGTTGCCAAAATTATTTCATGAGCTTTAAAAGAAACTCTTCATAATGCAAACTGAAGTTTTATCTCAGCAAAACATTGTTTTCTGTTCATAGTCATCTGATAGCCAAGATGGTTTCCTCTGACAGCTTCCTGACCTCATAATTTTAAAGAATAAATAATAGACAGATAAACAATATTAAAAAGCTAAAGTAAAGAGGAAAATTATCCTTAGTGCTTTATGAAAATATTTTAAATGAGTCAACATGCAAATATGATTTTAATTCTAATAATCAGGACACTTTTCTCCTTCTGTTGTGGATGAAACCTTACTATGAGATTTGGAAACTCATGGACCAAGACAGAGTTACAAAAGTTGAACTTAGATACCGTTTATTTATAGCCAGGATGAAAGATTTTTTTTGTTAAAAACTCATCAAACACTTCAGAAGGAGGGAAATATCATTGTATTATGTGTTGCTTGTCTTGGACACTGAAATTCTTAAAGGCCAATGCAACTGAACACTAACATATGTGCTCCATGTTATGCATGTGAGTAAATGTATTGACATCAATCAGAATACACACAAAAGTTTAAGTATTTGCAAAATCTGATCAAAGTAACTGAACACAGAAAAATTAATTATCAATATTGTGCAGAAGTTTTTCCACTATTAATAAAAAAAAAATACTATATAGAGAAATTAATTGTTGCACAATTGATGATATTTAGAAGATTAGAGAAAGAAGAGGAAAGCTAAGGCATCATTCAGGCATTAATGGAAGTAGCTAAAATTCTGGCATTGACTTCAGCAAACCATGATTTGAATGAATTCAGAACAAATGTCATATTACAGCACTGCAGTATTTTACCTTTACAATCATTTTATGTATTGGTTTTATTACATGCATAGAGTACATCCTTACAATTGTGCACACTAAAGTTTTAGGAAGTGCTTTCTTCCAATTTGTTTCTTGACCTTCGTAACTGTACTACAAACTTCTTGCATAAAGTTCCCCCATCATCTTATCACTCAGACTAATGTAACAGCACTGTGTAGCCCATCATATTGACTGAAGCTGTGTTTCAGTGAAAATGAATCAAACCAAACTCCAAATTTCTGGTAACTGCATCAAAATCTTGGGGTTTAGAAATGCTTTGAAAATGTAAATAAAATAGTTTAGTATTTCCACACCTCAATACGGGGTTTAATTGGAACTAATTATTTGATTACATTTATTGAACATATAATAGGTAAATAACATGTTATATGTAATAGAGCTCACTCACTAGCAAAGTTTCAAATAGGTTTAAAGCTATACTCTGCACACTATTTACATATAGGTTTTATTAGTTAATTTTACATAGTATTTAGCTTTTCCAAATTGTCAGCAAAAATCACATGAACACAGTGTAAAGTAATGTCCAGATGTGAAATATTGGACATTAGCTACTTTTATTTTTGCACTCATTAGTGCCCAAGTAGTGTCATGGCACTGTTTATATGCTGCAGCTAGATACCTAAAACTGAAAACTGTCAAGACTGAGCAGGAAAAAGCATAAATAAAGCAATCAGTTTAGCAACAAAATAGCTTGGTGTATATGTGAATATTTGTATTTTTACTAGTAAATTACTGAACATGGGACTAAATAAAATTGTTTTGTTCTTGTAAAGCACTAGCAGTGTCAGTTGGGTTCTTGCACTCTGTGATGTGACATAATAACAATGATTAAAAGGGGCATGCAATATCCCTGAGCTGAACAGTCATTTAGAATTACTGTAAATGTTGCTAACATCGGTGTGGTATTAATCCTGCAGCTGTAGTTATTCGTACACTAACTTCTAATACTTTCACACAGTGTACAGCACTAATATTAAGTCAGAGGTCCCACTGAAGTCACTTAGAGCATTATTGGAATAAGGTGTTGCTCAGCAAGAGATAATTTCTCAACTAACAAGGAGTGGTCCCTTTTAAAGAAGTATCATGACAGAAGATGTGAATCTAAGTGCTGTTAAATGATTACTTTATCCTTGTCTTTGCTACTATGAAATTGAATATTTAGTGCTGACTGGCCTATATACTACAGTGTTTGTTTCAGCAGAGCTGTGGCTGTATGGACACAGGACCTGCACTCTACCTGAACATTTCAGGGGTAGCAAGGAGGGTGAGACTCTCTTTGAGGTTTTCATAGCCATGCTGTATTCCTGACTGCTATCAGCTGTAATGCTGGGATACAAACTTGGAACAATTATTACTGTAATAAAAAGACTACTAAAACCACTGATCTAAAGTAGATTTGAACACTTAAGTAAAATTCTCACTATCTCATTATTAATAACTTGATGGGACAAAAAAGATTACAGACACTTTCCCTGCTTGCAGGTATATAATGATTTGGAAATGTGGATTAAGCCCTTTAACTAACTTCTGCTTTAGTGACTATACCACCTAACCATAACCTGCATGTCACAATTTGTGTATTCCAAAATATTCTAATGAATATGCAAAGTTATGTTAGAAAGTCTTTCAGAAATTTTGAATCCTTGAAAATCTGAGAAGAGAAACTTGTTAATAAAAAAACTATAAGAACTAACTACAGTAAAAATAGCTTAGGAAATGAATCTACTCTTTTAATGTAGTATTTCCTGTATGATTGATAGTATATGTCTTCTTCATGGCCATCCAAATCATGCTTTTGGGTCTTAAGTTTAAACTGTTCTTGATTAGTGCTGATCTGGAAAAAATATATTGTTGATTTGGATTTTGATCACATTGTTTTCCTCTTTATGCTACGTTTTCTCTGTTGGCATATGTCAAGAAATTCTCTAACAGTTGCGCAAAAATTTAAAAGGGAAGAAGATTCTGATAGGAGTGAACAGATGAAGGGAAAAAAAGCAAATGTCTGGACAAAGGAAATTCAGTCCAAGTCTCAGTCCCAGTACAATTAAATTCTTATATAATTAAGTAATGACCACCACTTTCTCCAACAAAGATCTGAATTGTGAATTGAAAGCATGAATTATTAAAGGATTAGATAAAGCATTAGACACAGGTAAGCAATAACAAATGCACATGTTTATAGGAAGGTTGATTTTTTTTTTCATATTGTGCCTCTTATGCCTGCTTAGAGTATATCTGTACTGATCAGTACCGTACCTTGTAGAGATACATTCAAGTAAGCTCCAAAGCAGAGGCAGTTTTAAGGTCAATACCTCTGGTTGGCACTGTCCTGGAATGTGGAGATGCACTAGCTCATTTAAAGCCAGCTCAGTACCCTATAGCCTTTCCCTTGTTACGTTCAGCCGCTCTAGCTATAAAAGTTCTATACACTCCTAGATACAAAGATTCTATTAGGGTGATCATTTGAATTTTTTTTAAACATTCAGCAGAATAACTAGAGTGTACTGTAGTTCTCTGCTTCACTGGTACAGTCTGAACTGCTGTTGTACAAACTATTGTACCTGCAGCCCCAC